CTAGCCGTAATTGAAAGTTCTCTTGTTATCGAAAGGGGTAATTAATTATAGGAGCTTGCGCCTATAGGAAACCAGAACTCATATCATAAAGTCCTCGCAAAATGAGAGCGAAATCTCTGGGTAGTGTCTTATATATAAACCCAATATGCATTCCTAAAATTTGCCCCATAACTTAATCCATTAAAACTCCCTCGAAAGTCGCCAATATTGATCACATCATCTCCTAGCTAGATATTAGCAACACGTCCCAACTGGACGGTGAAGGAAGTGTTTTGTAGATCCATATTATATCATAAGCATTTGTGCTTGATGCCTGATTAACGTTGACTGGTGTGCTACAATTCCCTGCAGCTACTACAATGGCTGTCGTCGTCCCTGTGTACGACATGGAATCTGAAGGGCCTAATAGGAGGCCCCGCTCTGTTGAAACCTCTCCTCATCATGCATATCTGCCAGCGTCACGGGCTACTTATGCTGTTGAGAATCCTCGCAAGAGGATTTCGTCGGCAGAAGAATTTCTGTGATGACTGCCAACACAACTGCCTCATCCAACAAGCCTGTCATGTATGAGTGGCGTAATGCTGAAGCTTCCTCACTTGGAGGAGAGCTGACGAGAAAACAGAGGAGAAAGATGAATGTTGAGCTCCAAGCTCAACAGAACCTGGTGTCTGTACACCCATCGAATTTACTTGTCCAAGAACCAGAAGCCAATGTTGTCATCCGGAATAAGTTTATCGACTTAAGGTGGGAGAAAAGAAACAGCTCCACAAGTGAACTAAAGAAATCCTTCTGGGAGTAGCGTCGTGAAGTCCCAATACCCCGAAGAAGAAAGAGCCTGAGACCCTTTCGGCCCGGGTATACCGAGTCCTAAAGACTGTAAAGGACAAGGGATTAAACAAGTAGAAACTCTAACGACCATTGACGATTGAGAGTTTGAGATCATAAGGACCCCACCAAGGGAAAGATTACAACCTGTCGTGGTAGAGAGGAGAGAAAGAAGACAAGTCCCGTGTGGTGAACATCGAAGCGTGACACTTGAACCAGGGGTTCGGGGATCTGCCGGTGAAAGGTCTCAATGAAAAGGAAAGGAAATCTAGAGGTCAAAGCCTCACATAGAAGATAGAGAATAAATGAGCGAAAAGATAATCAACCTGGGCTTGACATCCGATGCAGCTTTCCGGAGATCAACCCCCGCCAACAAACAAGGTCAGAAGTGGGTTCAAAAGAAGGTCCATGATGACACCCGTCCCGACAATCAACACCCTGGAGAATCTCCCAGGGAATCCCGTTGTTTACCAACCGCGTCGAATGAAGAAATCAACTTTGACCGCAGCCCATAGGTAGAGGATATCTTCTTACTCAACAATGAACCAGACATCCATGGATGATGCCATGAACGTTGAAGTTATCTATATGGTGAGACATGTAAACGTCGACGATAGCGCCGATTATGATGACAGCAAAGATGACAATGATTGATGGCCACAGACCAAACAAGTACATTAAACTGCCAAGAAGTAATAGGCTGTGAACATAGTGATCTCTCTACAACTGAGGTCGACTAGCTTGCAGAATATATGTAGCCATTCTCAGGAGTACCGAAAGATGCATAATTAAATATGACAATTTAATGAATGTAGTAAAGCTTGAAGAACATATAAGAAGTCCACTATAGGCGCAATGATAAATTTACAAGTAAAGAGATCATGAAATAATATTTGTAAATAACGGTGTCTCTTATTAATGTTTAGTGGAGTCGTCAGAAATCTATGGGCTCCAAAAATTCGTGCTCTGGCCTCCCCTTCTTTTGGGGGAGTTTTAACAGATTAAGTTCCGGGGTAAATTTTAGGAAGGCAGATTGGGTTTATAGATAAGACACTACCCAGAGATTTCATCATTTTGCTAGGACTTTATGATCTGAGTTCTTGTTTCATATAGGCGCAAGCTCCTATGGTTAATTACCCCTCCCGATAACGAGATAGAACTTTTGATTAAGGCTAGTCGTCGATCAAATACGTAGAAATACGTGTTATCTAGCATATAGTAGCAACATGGGCTTAGGTATGTGATGATTTAGGCTATACTTTTTTTTTTGCTTCATTACAGAGGTCAACAACTTAATATAGACCTTAATTAGAGTGATAATCTCAAACCCAAAAGCAAGTGTGGTGGCCTCCCTAGTGGTGGAGGATGGACTTCTTCGGTAAGCCAAAGAATAAATATCATGTCCTTTGACTAGCAACATTTCTTAGCATTTAACTTCCTCTTAAGGAGGCTAATAATTATTTTGTTGGAAGCCTCAATCTAGCCACTAGTCTATGAATTACTAATGACAAAGAACTTAAGATTGACGCATTAATCTTCAGTAAAATCTCCTAATTTCTTGTTACCGAATCGAGTGCCATTATTGATGATAATCATAAAAGATGGGCTAAAGTGGGTGAAGATTTCTAACCAGAATTTTCTGACCCCATAAATACCATCCTTCATGAATTCCTTCACTTCAACCCACTAAGTAAAGAAGTTGACAAGAACCAACAAAAGCATCATCTATTGCACCATATAAGAAGCAAACCAATGAATTCCACCCTAGCATGCGAAAAGGCTGGGGGCTAATGATTTATTATAGTTGATGAATAGGTTGATGAGGTATTATCGAGTAAACATGACAAATGAGATACCCGCTGGCGAAATCCATCATGTCTCATTTTAGAGTCAGACAAGAAAAACCTTTCATGAGAACCTTCTTAAGAAGCTTTTGTCCATCTGAGCAATTTTCTTACTCACCAATGTGCACTTCTTTTGGGAAATCTTCAGCCAAAGATAAACAATGGAAGGAGGAACCAAATAAACTCTTGCAAAAGTGTATGTCGTAGGGCAAGAAGTAATGGGATGCCTGAAGCCTAATTGATGAAGTAAAATTTCAACCGGCCAATAGGCATCAATTTATCAAGTAATTTCTTTAATAAGAGTAAGCCAAAAAGGGGGCTCGCCAACTTGTATGGTTTATTCTTGTCAATAGTTAGCAAGGTAAGCTAATAAATATAAGTGACATGTGGATTGTCATAATTCCATTAGAGATATGCTAGTTGATTTTTAATCATGCGAGCATGCTTCACCTCAAAGTGATCGAATTAGCTATCCCCATCTAGACCTTGTCTAGGTATCAGCCAAGGATGGAGTAATGAACTTGGTAAACTCTTAAGATTTGGTCAAGAGATAAGAGTCGATGTGAAGGACAAGCTTCTTTACTCCAATCTCAATAGTTAGGCGAAGACCTATAGAATAGCTTCATATTCAGATTGGTTATTGATTATGTCGAAGACGAGGCTGATGACAAAACTAAGGATGATTCCATTGTTGACCTGTACCGAGTGAAAAAAATAAAAGAGAAACAAAAAAAAAGAAAAATCACTCACCTACTCCCTGCCAGAGCACGTCGCCCCCACGTCGCGGCCAGTTCGCACGTCGTTTGCACGTCGACGTCGCCTCACGCATGACGGCCTCGCGTCGTTAAATGGCCAAAGGAATGAGACCTTCAGCCTCTTCCACGCTCTCGCTACGCTCCTGAGCTTTCTTCCTCTCCCGCGAAAGCTCTCACCCGCTCTCACCTTCTACGACTCCCTCTTCCGACTTCTTCGGCTCCGTCGTGCCCGGTCGACTTCGCTCCCTCTTCCGACATTCCCTTCCTGTTAGGATCGGAAGTTCCGACACTTTGATCAGAAGCTTGAACAAGAGCTCGCTGACGTGAAGTTAACTTTCTCCCCTTTGGCGCCGCTCCTCCAGCCACTTCAGTGGCTGTCCGACTTTGCCTCCTTCCACGACATTCCCTTCTCCCTACCTCAAACTACCCTAAACAAGAGGGTATGTTTTACTCATAAAATTCTAACAAGAGGATATGTTGTGGAATCCCCCAAAGCTTGCAAACCTAGACGGTAGATCACCTCATAGTCATCCGAGCGATATATATGTCCTATAACCATATCATGAATCTTGAGTAAGGAAAATGTCGTACTCATATCAAGAACCCTTGGTTTTGATGCAAGCAAGAATTCACAATCACTAAAAAAACCTACGTGTGTCATAACTTGTGTTTAATGCATAGAATTGGTCATTGGATGTGATCCTCATCCATATTAGGAATATTCCAAGTATCAATTTCTGAATATACTGAATCATGATTAGCATACTAATAGCTTGGAACTCTAATTTCCTCTTTGTTCAACATAATGTTAGCAAAGGAGAGCATTGGGATTACTAGAGAAGACAATAAAGAAGGCTATGCAAAAGTCTTTTCGAGTAAGTCCTACATAATATATAATCAGTCTGCAAATAGTTTTTTAGAAGCAACCCTTCATATTGTATAACTAGTCTACGAGTACCCTAGCTAGATACACCACTCTTTGTGCGCCCAAGTACACCTTTCATCATGTGCTCCCATCTTCTCTCTCTCATCATTAATTTCTCTCATCTTGTCAGCCTCTCCCCAATATCATCTTCTCTCAATAATTAGGTGTTTAATAGAACAAAGATTCACAAAAATTTGTTGAGATTAACATTATCATGGAACTCAATGGAGTACATGGTGAATATTCGCATGAAATGTTGCAAGGTAAAGGCAATTCACTTCAAATAAAATATAGCTTGTTGATGCTTCACTCTAAGAGGCATGACACCTTCTACTTCAATTTTAGTTATCAAGGAGGTTTGCTTTTTTTTTTTTTTTTTTTTTTTTTTTTTTTGAGCATTGAATTATATTATATCATAAATACTTTTGGGTTATCTACATATTCATAATATATAGATAGAAAGTCAGAAGAAGCAATGACCAATGGACAAATTCCATAAAAATGCTGAAGAGAACGGATATGCATTAAAACGACATATACAGAATCGCTCAAAGCAATACGTCCTTCAATGCAGAGGCAATAAGAGAAACAACCCAAGAATAGCTTTCAAACAAATTGAATAAAGCAACCAGCATAATCTAGAAGTGAGACCTGACTATGTTCCCATGCTGCATTTCCTTTAAAAGGGAGATCTCTCTTATAGCCGTACTGGGAACTCCCTCATCTTCCTGTTCTAACCTTATCTTCTTCAAAGCGATCGTCTCATTAGTGAGCTTGTCCCGAGCTTTATATACCACTCCGTATGTTCCTTCTCCAATCTTCTCCACCTTCTCATACTGTAATAGTAAAAAAACACCCCACCCCCATCACATTTAATTCTAGATCATACAAAATTATGCCAAAATAAGGGCAAACACAAACAGACACCATCCATGCCCCTAATGCTCACCTGGTCCATTCAACCACCGCCGCAGCTCTTCACCGCAAACAACAATGATTCCCCCTATAGAAACAGAACACGACAAAGATGAGAAGTCCACTAATCAAATCAAACAGTAGGGCAACCAAAAAATCATAACCCTCAAAGGATTCAATGCTAGAACCCTAGAATATAAGAAATTTGCCGGCATTCACAAGGCAAGTGCCGCTTCTTCACCGATCTATTTATTTCCTTTTTTCACCTCAATTTCTACAACGGGAGATACAGAGAATCGAAAGAGAATAAAATAAAAAACAATATCTCTTCCAATTGAAAATCGAATCCATGTTCTACAGTAACGCCCTGCTAAACTCGTGCCGAAAAGATCCATTAGCTAACAACCACAAATGCAAGAATTAGGCATCGGAATATGAGGCCTGCACTGACCCAACTCGTTCTAAGGAGCACGAGATGAACTCACTCTCCTATCTCGAGGAGAAGCGCGACAGATGCGGCAGGAGCTTTATCGCCTTCGCAATCTTGGTCCCCCCGCCTCCCCCCCTCTCTCTTTCTCTCTCTCTCTCTCTAGCCCGAAATAGAGCTCATATTCTGCAACCTGGGTCGTCCCTGTTAATAATCCCCCCTCTCTCTCTCTCTCTCTCTACTTTCTTTCTCCCTTAATATGGCGAGTAATTTGCGCAAATACTAAACAGTGGAGTTAGATTCGCACGTGGGACAAAATACGAGTTGCCAATCCGGTGCGGCATGGATACAATCTTTCTTATGCATCACTATTGTATTATAAATTAGTCATACCGAGTATCCAGCCCTTGGATCAGCTTCATGATTCAGATCACCAATAAAGATCATTCAAAACACAACTTTCAAAGAACATCCAAGGGCACGCAGGTATTTCTAGGTTTTTCCGTGTGGCAGAAGGTTCATAGGAGGAAGAGATCAAGAGAGTATTTGACGTAAATCTGGCTTTAATACTCGCTCGCGCATTTCATTTCCATGAACTTTCAACGGATTGATTTTACACGTGTCGAATTATGATTGCAGTTGCGTTAGTGATTTGCTGTTTGTACTGAACGGCTGATGAAATTGGCGAGGCTGGAAATGCGTCTCACGAGCCTGGTGATGGGTTCGGGGCCTTCGGGCTGGAACGGATTAGGTGGAGTTGTCACGTGACCCTCACGAGCTGCTCGGCTAGGGGGTTATGACTGGAGTTTGAGGGGATTGGCTGTGGAGGCCAAACACGGAAGAATGGAAGACGGTAGTGGGGCTGGACCACCGCCACGGCTGATGCCAGCTTTTCGAGATTTTACAGTTAAAAGGCGCATGATTGCGAGGCTAGAGGCGGGGACCACCTAAAGTCAAGGACGTGGTAGACAAGCGGGTCCCACGTTGAAAGCTTCTGGTCGCGCTTGGTCTAGCGTTTATCAATGGCCGGCGTTATAATGAGTCATTATAAAAAAAAAATACTCATTATTAATATTATATTATTCACTACTTTAATAAGTGTGGCACTTCATTTTATTATTTTTCTTTAAATTTATTTTCATTAAAAAAACTAAAATGCATTTGATAATTATTTTTTATTTATATGAAAATAAAATCTATATATATATATATATATATCAATTTATTTATATGAGACAAAAAAAAGTTTCATATATTGGTTATCAATCTGAGTAGATGACACTATAATCATATTGAAAATTATTATTAAGTCCAAAAAGAAAAAAAAAGAGAGAGAGATGGACAATTAGAGAAACTTTGAAAATTTTATTAAATTTGTATTAAATAGTATAAAATTGATGTGCCATAAGCCATGACTTAGATCAAGATTTAGACTTCATTTGAAATAGTTTTCTTATTGTTTTCTAAAGCAGCTATTTTACATAAAAATATATTGAATTATAAATTTTTGTACTTACAATGGAAGCAATGTATATCGCTGAAGGAATAACAAGTGCTCGTTCGTACACTCCCAACTCATTTGATTCTCCTAATTAAACAAATTCCATAGTGATTCCAAAGCAAGAGAACCTTAATTAGAAGTTGCAAGCTCTCGAGCAATATACTTATCAACCAAGTTATAAGAATCCTTTTATTTTGATTTTGGATGTAGCTTTAGTAAAAAGTATTGATGAAATGGCTCAAGCTATTGTAGAGGAGAGAGAATAAAAACTTATTTTATTTTGCAAAGAAATAGTTCATATTATGATTTTCAACTCCATAAGTTCTGCTCAAATCATTTCAAAAGTCTTTTGCTAGTTACATTCATCATTCCTCTAAGAAGAGAAAAAAAAAAAGAGTATTGATTACTTCTTATACACATGTGGTTCCCATTTTGAAGGGAAAGAACACTATAAAAGAAAGAATGTGCTATCTTTAAGGTTCAAATTCCCAACACAAGCAAACATTATCGTTAATTACATTCTAAAATGATAAGACTTAAGAAAACTCTTAATTAAAACCATGCAAAGTATTTAAATATTTTATTGATGGTGAAAATTACTAACCTTTCGGAATATCAAAAGGGGTAGAGTCAACTCGAAAAAAGATAACGGAATAAGTTCAAAGAGAATAAACTAAGAACATATAATCTTAAACATTTAGAATGTTCAAAGATACCATCATAAATGGGATTGTTATATTTTAAAAAATATATTAATTTATGTTCAAATTAATAAAATTATTAAAAATAAAACTTACATTAATCTAATCAATAATTATATCATTACTTGAGAACAACCCTAATTGAGGACTTCTAACATCTCATATGAAATTAAAAAATATATATGAAATAAAAAATAAAAAAAATAAAATAAAAAATAATTAAAAAAATGAAAACATAAGCATCTTTTAAAACAAAACCTTTAGCAAAATGGCGAGGAAGACAAAGCTCGCGCCCCATGTTATCGAGGTGAAGTTGGAGCAGCAGCCCCCTAGCGAACCCTCCGACGAGGAGGAGGAAATAAGTCAAGACGAAGATGAATCAGAAGAGGATGAGGAGGAAAATAATGAAGTCGAGGACGAAGAAGAAGAGGATTTATCGAGCAAAGAATCCATCCGTAAGCTACTCGAGCCTTTCGGCAAGGAGCAATTGACGGAAATCTTTAAGGAGGCCGTCGCAAGAATCACTCTCTCCTCTCCCGTATAGTGAATGAGGCCGAGACCGACCACGAGCACCGCGAAATCTTCGTTCATGATCTTGACTGGGACGCCACTTCCGAGACCTTAGCCGCCGCCTCCTCTCCCTTCGGTCAGATCGATCGAGGATTGCAGGGTCATCATGAACCAACGCACCGGGCGATGTAAAGGCTATGGTTTCGTTCTCTTCCGCACCCGGGCTGCGGCGAAGCGGGCCCTCAACGATCCCCTGAAGATAATCGGTGGCCGCGTGACCAAATGCCGGCTCGCTTGCTTTGGTCCCCCTGCCGCAGCCGGGCAAGCCCCAGGTTCAGCAACAGTTAGGGTTGGGCTGCTTAATCCTGCAGCAGGCTTGTCTCCTGCATTGAGTGGGGGAGCTGCTGGTGTTTCTCATCAGCCTTACCACAAAGAGTGACAATAATTAGAAAGACCAAAGCTACTGTTACTAACTTCATAGCTTCAAGCCTTCATTTGCCAACGATGAGAAGAGGTTGGATGTTAACCAAAATAAGGACTTCATAGATTGATTTTTGCAATTTTGATCTTATATGGATGAGACATGAATTGATAGCAACTGCATATCATATCAGCCCTGCAATCTTTTTGGTCTCACTTAATTGGAAAAGTTATTCTGTGGAGACGTTGGACGGCATCCGGAGAACAACCGAACGGCTCCACGTCATTTTTTTGCTCGGTATCAGTGCTCAGTACCGCTGTATAGTGGGTGATGTGGTGCATTTTGATTGATCTCCGAACCGTTCAGTGTTCGCACAAAATAATTTCTCCACTTCATGAGTGGCTCCCTCGTCAATACAAATGAATTACATTTGGCAACCGATAAGGTAGGACCTTATTTTATGTGGACTCAAAAAATAATTCCTTGGTAATTAAGAAATGAAAAATAAGAATTCAACCATGGAGGATAGGACCCCCTACTTCAGTTGGTAGGGTATGACATCCTGGTAGCTAAACTGTGAAATGACTCTTTGGAGTATAAAATAAATAAAAGATGAAATTCAACTCGGAGGAGAAGACTTTCTCCCTTTCTCCCTCAACTAATAGGCTAGAACCTCCTATGGAGTGAACTTTAGAATGACTATTTGGAAGTCAAGAAAATGAAATGTGAGAATTCATCTATGAAGGAGAGGACTTTCTCCCTTAACTAATAGGGTAAGACCTCATATCGGGTGAACTCCATGGTCGGCTAAAATGATAATAGCCCATCTCGGGAGGAGAGGACTTTCTCCCTCTACCAATAAGATATGACGTTCTATTGGGTGAGTTTCATAACATGTTAAAATAATGCAAGTTCATCTTGAGAGGAGAGGGCTTTCTTCCTAAACCAACAGGGTAGGACCTCCTACCAAGTGAGTTCTAGGGGAGTCAAAATGAGTTTTCGGACCGGGTTCCAGTCGAACTCAGAATCGACCCGAGTCTAAACAGGTTGACCCGAACCTGACACAGTTTTATAAAAGGGTCAGAAATTCAAAACCGAACCCCACCTGTTGGGTTACCAGGTTGACCTAACAACCCGTGAACCCGGACATGAATGCGGTAGGCTCACTGCGGAGCTTAGTGTGGACTAAGGAGCAGTGCGGGCAGGGTCTAGGTGTGAGATCGCACTGTGCAAGGGCAAGGTGAGCACGAAATCGCAGACTGCAAAATCCGGATACGAAGCGAGCGACTGAGCATGGTGCGGGTCTTGCGACTCTGGCCATTTGGGTGCTGACTGTAGAGTCCAGACGCGAGGAAAGCGCCCGAGCGCTGTGTGGGTCTGACCATCTGGGTGCGGATTGCAGGACACGAGGTGAGTGGCGAACAAGGGATGGCGTTGTGGGGAGTCTGGACGCGAGGCGTGGCTAGTGCGGCGTGGGTCTGGGATTGGGTGCGGACTGTGGAGTTCGGAGTGCGGGCGCAAGGCGATCAGGCGAGTGGTGCGGGCTAGATTTTCAAGTCAACCCGGGTTGATTTCAAGTTTCGGGTCAACTCGAACTCGACCATATTTTATAAACAGTTCGGAAAACAAAACTCGAACCCGACCTATCTGGAAAACGGGTTAACTCAAATATGGAATTTTTTGGGTCGGGTCTGGGTGGGGTTTCGGGTCGGGTCAAATATTGACACCCCTAATGAGTTCCAAGAAAGGCTAACATGATGAGAGCTCATATCGGGATGAGAGAACTTTCTTACTTTGTTGAGAGGGTAGAACCCCCAACAAGATGAGTTTCCATGGAAGATGTAAGTGCCTCTAGATAAGTCACATTAGTGAGAACCCATCTCAAGAGGAGAGGACTTTATCTCTCAATCAGTAGGACACGACCTCCTGCTACACAGAAGACAAATAATAAGAGCTAATATTAAGAGAGGACTTTCTCCCTCTAATTGTATGGTAGACCTCCTATAGGTGAGCTTCCATTGAATCTGCAAGTGACTCTATGGGAGTCAAGAAAACAAACACTAATCTGAACCTAATCATGAGAGGCTAAGCTGAGACACCAAGATTGTGTCAAGCAAGGGAGTAGTACAGGTATTTCTTCATGTGTGCTGAAGAAAGAAGTTAATTATTCATGTGCCTGTGTCATAAAGAGGTAGAGAATGGGAATCTCCCTTAAAAAGAAGCCATATCTGCCAAAATAGAACCCAAAAGAATCAATAATACAAATGGTTTAAATATAAATGAAACCAATCAAAAGAAACATAATAAAAATTGCTAGAGATATGCTCCCTAAACCTGGGAAAACCTTTTTATCAAGACATCTTGTGTGTGTGTATGTGTACATATATATATGAAATTTTTGTTTTCTAAACAATCTCTAAGTAAAATAAAAGTTAGAAGGATAAAAAATCTCATGGAGCAAAAGTATTACTTTCAAGAAAAAAAATGAGTACATTGGACCAAAAATAAAATGAACATATCACATATCACAAGGAAGAAATGTTTCACAATACTTTAATAAGAATCAAATTTGCATTACAAAAAAAAAAAAAAAAACACAGAATAAGTATCCCAACTGCAAGCAAATTATGTCAACATATTGATCTTACATTGCTAGAAAACAAATTTTTTTTTTTTTGGAATTCTAGAAAACAAATTATCAATTAGCATTTTCGTTAAAATGCTATTTACAATATAAAATTTAATCTACTTACAAGGCAGCAATGATCCATCTCCTTTAGTAAATTAATTGGAATAATTGAAAATTAATAAGCTGTAATCATTCATAGAAAAGTAATAAGCTGTTATCATTCAAAAATCTGAGGAAATGAAAGAAAATGATTCCCACAGCATAAATATAAGCTTTTAATCATTTGAACTCCAATTCTACCAAAATCAATAGAAAGATGTAGCCCACTAATGAAATAGTATTTATACAATGAAAATTATAGAACATATTTAGAGATGCAAATGCAAAATAAAGTGAGAAAACTCAAAGGCAAGGCCAGAAAAGCAGCCAAGGGTGACTAACCTAAGACTAGCCATAAAGAAACAAATTGAGATTACTTGAAGATTGACCTTTACAAACAGTCCATCATATTGGTCTTCTTCACATCATTGAAGTCCTGTACCAAAACCTTGCATACTTGCACTCAACAAGCCCTTTTGGATCGAACGCAACAGAGAGAAGATTTGAAACAAACCAACTTTCATTTATCCTGTCATAGTACAAATTAAGAAGCAAGGAGAGCTATATAAAGCCGTGACAAGAGGAACCCAAGAGCTATGTGGAAGAAAACATCCAAGGCATATGAAAGGGCTGTTCATTCAAGTTTTGTGGGATTTTAAGGAACCATTGTAGGTTTTTAAGTGAATATAGGTAGTTATAATGCCAAAGGCTTAATTATGCATAGAATTCAAAAATCTACCCACATTTATTTTGGAGAAAGAGAAAAGGAAAGAGAGGCATTCATGAAGTGGAGGATGCCGTGGAGGTCAAAAAGATGAGGTTGAAGCCAAACTGTAATAAATTTGTAGCCAAAAGCTAGATCAACGGATTGGGCTCCATCATCACAACATATGCATAGCTTACAAGACTTAATACATAATACCACATGACTAACATTACAATAAACCAACAAAATAAAAGACCAAACTCAAGATGACAAAATAAAAGACCAATAATACACAAGGGGGAAAAAATAAAGATTCATAGTAAAAAAATAGAGTACACATGTAGATACTAGGTACAATATAATCTAGACTCCAAACTAAAGATGCCAATTCGTGTTCACAGTTTGCATTTGCATCCAATCCAAAAATGATAAGGCAAGAATATAGTCAAACCAAGTTAGACCATTTTATTAAACGGATAAAAAAATTCAAACCAAAATAGACTCGACCAAACCCAAGTTTGACAGGACATGGCACGGAAAATATTTAAATTATGATGTGTTAGTATCAACCAAAACCAAAATGAAAATGGCAACTTGATTTGGCCATGAAAACCAAAAAAGCAAAAAAAAAAATGATTTTATATGAGTTTTTTTCTTTAAAAAAGAAAGAATCAAATAATTAAATCATTATTTTCAAGTTAAACCAAATATAATCCAATATTTTTAGATCAACTTAGTTGGTTTCAACTCGACCCAAATTTTACATGGGTTAAATCAATTTTTCATGTCAAATTTGAGTTGGATTTTTGTTTTCAAGTCCAATATCAACACCCTTGCTTAAATCTCATAATAAACTAATACTCAATCTATCTTATATCATTCCAACAAATATGTTTGATCTTATTTCAAGCTATAAATAACCTCATTATAGCCCCTACCTACTTTCATATTCGAGTATGACTCATGAGCATCCCTACAAAGATGACTGCAAACTGAATTTTAACTTGTTCGTTCATACTTTACTCTAACCTCAGGTTTTTAAAACAATTTTAAGGCTATTGATTTATGTGTTTTAATCTATGATTTCTAATCCATGCAATTTTCAATGCAGATAAGTTTTATGACGGTCCAGAAAAAAAAAAGTTTAATGGGATTATCTTCAAAATATCACTCCTTTGATGAACTTCAAGCATATAGCCTCAGGCCTTCGATCATAAAATTTTGATATGAGAACATAAACCTTAATGACTAGATGTGTTAAATCAGATTAGAGAAGAGAAGTCCCACTTAATCACTTGGTTAGAGTTACATGCAAATAGTTTCAGGCTGCAACCTATTTTGGTCTGTAGAAACCACAAATGGCATGCTTAAAAGGAGCTCCCAGATGTTCTAAATTTAATTTCCTGAGAAGGTAAATGCGTGCCATGTTGGAGAAAAACCCGTCTTTGAAAAAGAAAATTAAGAGGTTCAATTAGCTTTAGATTCATCTCTTATGAAGTCCCCCAACATTATGATGGGTGCTATGAGTACGTGTGAAAATTCCTAATATATGGGATCCACGCCGGCCTCTCATCAAGCAATCTATGCACTCTGATTATATCATGATTGTCCACATCAGCAATCCGTGTGTTCTGATTATTACTATTTTGCTTTAATTTTAATTGTTTCCTTGATTTTAGGACTAGTATTTGATATTGTAGCTCCTATAAATATGTATATTTCTTCTCCTTTATTTATCTTTGATTTTAACATGGTAT